AAAATTTTTAAAAATAACTATAATTTTTGAAATGTAAAATATCAAACTCACGAATATTAAATCAATTTAATAAAAAACAATTAAATATAAAAAACATAATTTAAATTTTCTTTTTATCAAAAAGAAAACAATGAAAGAGCAAAGTTTTAGTTTAACATATACTTAATATTAATAATATATAATAAATGCAATTGTACATGAAACATCGTAAAATATTAGATATTTAATAAAGAAAACTTAAAAAATAAATTTATAATTCATTTATTTTTTGGTAAATTTATTATTAACGAGTAATAAAAAAAATTTATGACTTGTTTATTCGAGAAATAAACAATTTCTCGCATATAATAACAGAAAACCTTTTTCTATCATTATCGGTTTCCAATTAAGTCTAACCAGAGACTCTAGGATGATGTGACCTCAGAACAATACTGTTATTTTTAAGAATTTAGACTTGCAATTGTATATGCTTAAGATATTCTAGCTGAAGCGTAACATAATCCCAAGTCCAAGATTAACATATTCTAACTATGGCTAATTCAATATCTACTTTTAGGAAAATTTATGATAAATTTATGCCGATTAGTCCTTGATTATCACTGTATTCAGAGATGGATTTTAATAGTTAAAAATTTTAATAGTTAAAAAAGTTAATATTAAAGTTATTTTAATAATTTATTATTCAAAACATCGAATAACTGCAAACATTAATTACAATGTTAAGCAATCGAGGTTAAAGTTATGTGAAGAATGAATCAACTATAACAGTCATGAATAAATATTATTCAAACATTTCAAATAAAGTTATTTAAATAATAACTTAAAATAACTTTATTCTAAATTTTTAACAAGATTTTATGACATATATTATATTAACTATAATAGCTATAAATAATTAATAAAATTAATTAGAAATAATTATTCAATTATTTTAATAAAGTAATTACTTAAACTAAATTTATTCGAAATTTTTAACTAGTTACTTTTTCAACGGCTTCTGAACTCTGATTATATCTTTGTGTGACCAACTTAATCGAAGAATTTTCCACGATCTTATTGGCTATTGTTATGCCTTATCATGATCCTTTCAATTGAGCTGAAAAGGATTTCTGAGAACATTCACGAAAAAAAAAAAAGAAAAATTTAACAATAAACATATTTTGGATGTCGTTGAAGAAGTAATTAATTAAAATGTTCAAATAAAGTTATTTTAAATAACTTATTAAAATGTTTGAATAATATTTATTCATAGCTAGTATAATTGATGATTTATAACATCATATAACCATGCCATTTGACAATACAATTATCTGTTATTTGATGCCTTGTAAAAAACAATTTTCAATTTCAATTATTAAAATTTTGTCCATCTCTAGCAAATCATACCACCGGATAGAATCAATAGATAATTTTATAACCACGCATTGCATTTTGATTATTAAATACGATCTTATTATGATATTGTGAGAGACTTATATCTCGTATAAACAAGCATATTACAATTATAATACAATCTATTTATTGTTGTAAGAAAATATATTACCTGCTACGAATATCCAGCTGATCAATTGAAAGATCATTCTATCAAGCTCAAGCTGTCGAGCTTTTATCCATCACTAACTATCGCGAGTGCAATCATTGTCACAGTCATTTTGATTGTTTCTTTTTGTACGATAAATAATTGTTTTTTGTATGAAAATCAATATTGAAAATCAGTATATACGTTATTGAAAATTTTATTCGATTTTTAATATCATTAAATATATTAAAAGTATTTATTTCAATATTATTTTTGTTTAAATTTATTAAGCAATATTACTTGAAACAACTATTACAATTTTTGCATTTTGCATGTTTTCAAACTATTGTATTATAATTTTTACTTTAGAAATAGAATAAAAAAAATTTTATCAAAAAATTTTTTTTAAATAAGCACTATATTAAAAAATAAGCAAAAATACAATTTTGTAACGAATTATACTTTCATTTTTATTTTCATTTTCTTGAATACCTCTTTTCGTTTTCGAGATATAAGCAAGTATTTTTCTCATTTTCGAGATATAAGCATTATTTTTCAACCAATTTTCATATTTTCTTCAATTATCATTTTGCTTTTTCACTGTATTTTAGTTCACAATATACGAAAATTTAAATTATTCTTTTTTGTATTTGCTTTATATCATATTATACTTTATGTTTTTTATATTTACACCATATCATTTTACATTTCAAAAATTACAATATACCTAATGAATTTCGCGTTTTGAAATATATTTTTTTAAAATAAAATATTTTATTAGGGATAGTATGTATTTTCTTATGTTCATCACACAGTGAATGAAAAAGAACAACCGATATTACAACTGGATCGAGACAAATTACGATTTCGTGGCGAACAAGCGACCGAGTTCCCCACTTCTTCATGTTCCCATCCATGCAGTTCGAATCACATCATGATTCGAAAGGAGGAAGATCCTTGCTGTTGGATATGCCAGAGTTGCGGCCTCTATCAGTACAAAGTGAACGAACAGACGTGCAAGGACTGCGCACTGGGTACGATACCGACCGAGAATGGAACCGGATGCGATCCTATTCCCGAAGAATTCGTTGAATATTCGAATCCCTGGGCGATTGTTGCGATAATAATAGCCGTTTCCGGTAATCTCAGGCAGAGAATTTAACCTATCTTTTCTTTTTATTTAATACACCACGTCTAGCTAACTGAATCAATTGTGCTTTTTTTTGTTTGTTCGAAATGTAGAATAATATAGAATAATGTAAAAGAATAATATCATATCTTTAAAACAAGACAATTTCTTTCCCATTGTTGCTTTACTTTTATAGTATGCTAATTTTCTCATGGATTATTTATATTCTTCTCTCGTGTTTTACTTCATATAAATGCAAATATATAAACTATAAATATAAATATAAACATAATAATATTTATTCCTAGCCTTTTCCATTTTTCTTCATGATAGGAGGAATGTAGGAATGGGAAGAAGAACCACATAATTGCGTAAACTTTATATAATTGTGAATATACATTTACAATTATATAAGTTAATCTTCTTTCTACTCTTTTTTCATGTTTCAAAGAGTAGGGAGAAAAGTTACGAATTACCAGTTGCAAAACTTGAAACTCCAGTCACACGAGTCTTATTATATTAACAGATTACATAATATTTCTTTAATCATTTCTAATTATATTTTACTATTTGTTTTAGTGATTGTACGTAATAATTTGTTCATGATATAAGAATTGGCTAAATAAGAGTCTTGCAACTTCTTGAGGAAAAAATGTAAGAGATGGAAAGCCAGATTCGTGTGGTTTTTCAGAGGGAAAAAAATTGGCCATACATAATCTTTGACTATTTATAAACAACTGTTCAAGAAGAAGATTGGATAGTCATATTATCTCCATTGCCGATACATTAGGTAGATAAGATGCGATGCTTGGTTTTAATGAAACTGATTACGTGATGTACCTCTGTCTAATAGTGGTAGTGAGAATAACATGATGTCACGTGACATGATGTGAAAATTTGGTTATATGTCTAATAACAAAATAGTAGTAATGGTGATAATATGATATTACATATTTTTCTCAGGAATTCACAGAATCGAGTCTTTTAATAGTAAAAGTGATAGCGTATCGCGTTATTTAACTACTATGCTAAGTAAAAAAATACTTTGTATCACACGTATTTTCATAATTGATCGAAACAGTTATATAAATAAAGTATATTGAAGAAAGCTTGAAAAAAATAAATAAATTATATTAAATATGATTGGAAAAAAAAAACGATGTTATGACGATGATTTTCAAGTTTTGGCATAAATTTATTCTATTAAGAGAATATTAACTATTGATAATATACTCTCATAATCTATGAGAATTTTACTATATAAGTACATTTATATTAATGCATAATACAATACATAAATATTATGTTTACAACTGGTGACTCGATTCAATGAATAGATTATAGTATGATTAGAAAAGATATTTTCATTATCCCTCTGGTCATCTTCTCATAGACAAACAATACATACATAAAGTTTGTCTGATAATATGTATAAAATAAATATTGTGAAGAAAACTTTCTTTATTTTTTAAATAATTGATTTCTTATCAATCTTCTCTTATAAATAAAATGTTTTAATTAAAACACAAACTTAAGTAATAGTACAATAATGAGCGATTTTGTGTTTTAATCTAACTTAATCCAAGCGTGACAAGAAATATAGAAAGTCCAAATATGAAAAATCGCAAAGCAGATTAGTCGTAATTTTATTATCGTTCATCATAACATTGCTAATTTTTAATTTATTAACTTAACATTATATTTTTTCTTTTACTACTATTTTTCTATTTTTACTACTATTTTTTCTTTACTTTAATTCCCTCAAAATGGCAACAAACGCATAATTCTGCTGAAAATCGAATTAAGGTTATGTTGATATTTAATTAAGGTTATATTATTACTGAAGCAGCCAATGATTCAGAGAATCTCAAAATTGCGTTACAGGTATAGGTCTGACCATGTTCGTTTGTTCGGTGTTTTGGATTTACCGCGAGACTCCAATGATCAAAGCGTCTGGCAGAGAATTATCCTTCTTGTTGTTGCTCGGCGCGTTTGGATGCTTCTCAATGACGTTCGCCGTCGTGACTAAGCCTAGTGTCAAGAGTTGCGCTATAGTTCGTTTTGGAATTGGATTTTGCTACACGGTTTGCTACGCTGCACTCACGACTAAGATCAACAGGATTCATAGAATATTCAACGATCCTGGACGAAGTCCACGACGGTAAAGAGATTTCGATTTCGAAATTTATCAACATTGTTCGATTGATGACAATAAAATTTTTGATAAAAAATATCGATCATTTTTTAAATAGAATAGAACTAATATTCCATTGGTATGGTTCCATAAATTTTTCAAATATTTCGGATATTCATTTTTTTTCTCATTTATGATTGAAATGACTAATTAAATTTTTATTTATTAAATGAAAAAAATGAAATGAATTTTTTATATAAAAAATAAAAAAAGATCTAGATCTAGATCTAAAATATTGAATTGTATTTAAATATTTAAAATTTTTAACTATAAATTTTAAAATTGTTTTTAGAATCTACTTTTCAAATTCTATCAATTTAAAAAAACAATTGAAAAAATATCTATAAAATTTTGTGTCTAAAAGAATAAAATTTCATCCGATTGAGATTTATTTATTACTTATAATCAGTTTAAATCAGTTAGATGAAGTGAAATAGAATTCAGATTGCAGTGATAAAATGATAGAATGATAGATGATAGAATAATAGAATGATTGAATGATTTCACTCTCACTATCTTATTTTCATCTGATACAAATTTATAACTTGATAAATAAACTTCAATTAATATTTTTGTAATAATTTTTGAACTTGTTTTAGCCTCTAATATCACGAATATATTAATATGCTACATAATTCGAAAATAAAATATATGTATATTTTATAGATAAATATAGATCATAAATGTATATATATAAATTACCAAAAATTAAAAATATTAAAAGTTAGTATAACTTGAAAAATTATTAAAAAGAAGACGAAAGAAAATTAAAAAAATTAAAAAAAGAAAAAACTGTCTGTTCAAAATGAATTATTTCTATTATTACATAAAAATAAATTGTAATACAAAAAAAATAAATGAATAATAATAAAATAATGATAAATAATACGATAATATCTATTCTAATCGTTGCCTTATAAATTCTATTTTCTAGAAATGGAATAGGTTTTATAAATATATTAATGAACGAATATTAATGAATATTTAAAAATTCAAATAACATGTCTCGTTCTATTTCTCTATTTATTTCACATTAAAATAAAATTTTTGATACAAATTTGTTTTTGCAAGATGATTAATTTGATACAAAATATTAATTAGAAAAAAATTATAATAATAATAATAAATATAAATGAATAATAATAATTAAATTTTTAATTAAAGAATGTAATTATCTAATACATTTGTAATAATTTTATCGATCAAAGGGAATAAAAAAGTAATTGAAATAATTTTTAAATAAACAAATAAATATTGTTTCTTTTATATTGTAAGATAACAAGACAGTGTTTCTCAATTTATAAATTGCAGTCCAATATTATCGCCAGATCGCCTAAAATTTTTAATGAATCATAAGAACTACTTTTAAATGTGTATGATTTCTTTTTTATATTTATTTATACAAAATGTCTTATTTAAATAGATTATTGATAGCATTGATAACATTGAAAAATATTTTTCGAAACTTTTTATAAAAATTGAATTTAATATATTATTTGATTAAGAAATTTTGAATAAAAAATTTTTTTCAGATTGAAACATGAAAAATATATTTACATTAATTTTTTTTTTATATAAAATTATAATTATAATTTTTCAATATATATTATTTCATAAATCAATATAGCTAATCATTTTTTTTTTAAATTATTAATATGTTATTTATGCAAAAAATCTATTATTAATTTGAAATGTATTTTAACATTCAATATTGTAAAATTTACTATATGAAAGACAAAGAAAAATACACAAAATGATATTCTTTTTTTAATCCTTTCCTTTTCTTATTATCATCGATTTTCAAAATATATGAGAATAAATCGATTTAAATAAAACATTCTATATAATAATATATTCTGTATAATAATTCCAATATTATAAAATTTTTATATTATAAACATTTAAATTTCGATAAAATCATAAACATAATATATAAACATAATTATAAACAATTATATTTATATTAAATTACATGGCAGAAATGTTCTTCACGACTTTCATAATTTGACTCTTGAAAAAGAATGCAGTTAATATTTCGAAGACAATACATATTGTGTTTTTCAATTGAATAATTAGTTTTAAAACATACTTGATGATATTCTAATATCTATTATTCAGTATTAATTGTAATATTATTATATCATTATCATTTATTATGAATTTTTTTCAATTATTAATTATTATTTGTTAAAATTTATTATTATATAATAAAATAATTGATTTTAAACAGATGATATTTTTTTTCCTTTATTTTTCTTCTTTGTTTATCTTTTAAGGTCAAACTTTCAATAAGTTTTTTTAACTTATACTTTCGTATAACTAATTTTCTATATATTTTCGAATTAAATTAATATAGTATTAAATAAAATTATAAAAATTATAAATATAACAACAAAATGTCATTTATTAATTATATTATAAAATTTCTTCTTCTTATGTCAATAATTCCGAAAATCAAATCTTCTTTTCTAATATCTCAATTTGCAGAATAAATGAATTTCATATTAGATATATATATTATTCATATATTATTACTAATTATTCGTAACAATATTATCAAAAATAAGAGAAATAATATAAAATTGATAGATTAGTATATATAATAATAAAAATAATTATAAAAAAATGAAAATATAAAAAGTAATAGAATTACTTTATAATTAATAGAATTAATTATTCAATCTCATCAATTGAATAATGTTCCTTAATAATAATAATATATAGGCTATCTTAAAAATATGAGAACATTTCTTAATTAGACATTCCTGAAATAATTTTAAGCAACATTTTGCAGAAATTTTCGTTACAGTTTTGACTTTTTAATAAAAAACACTGGTCAATTACAGATTGCATAGCAATCAAAACGATAATATTGGTTATGTTTATCGAGCACGAAAATTTTATTATTGAATATTATAATTTATTTATTTATTAGTTTATTTATTTATTATGTTCATGATATAATTCGATATAATTTTTTTATTGATAAAAAAATATTTGTTATATTCAACATATTTTCTTCATATGTTGCTTAAACTTGTTCGAGTTCGATTAGTGGTTCGTAGCCAACACTACCGATTCGACTAAGCTATGCGCTTTATGATTGGTCAGTGTTTTTTGTTAATAAAATTGTAAAGAAAATTTTTACAAAGAAAAATATTGCTTGAAATTACCTTAAGAATCTGAGTTAATGAATATTTCCATATTTTTAGAAATTATTTTTTAGACACTCTGAATAACGTATAATAATATATTCACAGCTTTACCAGCCCACGATCTCAATTAATGATCGCATCGATCCTAATTCTGATCGAAATCGTGTTCGATGCGGGTTGGTTACTGAAGGAATTACCAACTGTCGAACACTCGTATTCTAAAAGATCTGCGAATGTCAGAATTTGTCGAGGTTCTGAGAACGGTTCTTACGTGATTGGTTTATTCTATCCATTCTTGTTGACCGGTAAGTACAATAATACTTTAGCATTCAATGCATTTTTATTTAAAATATATGATAAAGTAACGAAAAATTCAGAAATGGATTTCAGAATTCAAAAAAAAAAAAGACAAAATGACAAAAGAATTCCAAGAAAAATAATTTAAATTGGAGTTTATTTTAAAAAATGTTTCAACTTCTTCAGAAATTGACACATTATTTAGTTTTCTTTTAAATTAAAATTATTCTAAACTAAAAAAAAAAATTAAAATTTGTTGAAGAATTTTTCATTACAAAATTTTTTAGTAATAAAAAACAAAAAACTCAAAGGACTTGATAATATTTTATTTTATTTAATAATCATTCAAGCTTTCAAAGTATTAAGTAATAGTTTTTTTGATGTCTTATAATATTTGAAAGGATTAAACGATGATAAAATCGTTTAAAATTGTGAAATTGTGAAATTTTAAAGATAATTTCAATTTTTTATTTTGTTTTATAACAAAAAACGGTAAAAATCATTAACTGCAATGAAAATAACTTTATCTTTAATAATTTTAAATTTATATATATATATAAATTTACATTACAAAAAAATATTATTGCAGATATTCTAATAAATAAACTTTAAAATATTCAAGAAAAAATTATTATTTACATAATCAATTTTTAATAATTCTTTATTAAGATTTGTTATTAATATTTATTATTAAAACACTTAGTATAATTATTATTATATATTATTATATATTATTAATAAAATCATTTAGTTTAATATTTATATTGAATATTATTTAAGAAATAAAGAATAAATTTTCAATTAAGATATAAAAAAATATATAAAAAAGATATAAAAAAATATTTTCTCAAATAATCAATTCTTTAATTTATTTTTTATTTAACCATATAATTACATAAAATCAAAATAAAGAAATTTATTTATCAACTAATAATTAATATTTGTCCAAATCTGCCATTAATTCATCATAAATTAAAAGATACATTATTAATATAACGACATTGCTAACAATGTATATTTATACAAAATTTATAAATACACAAAATATATATATATATTTCGATTTCTAATGAAATGAATTGCAATGTCTACGAAATATCGGAATTCCAAAAAGAATTTATATTCGATAAAAAATTCATTTAAGGCAATGTGAGACAAAAAGAATAACATTAACAAAATTAAATATATTATACATATATTGTTTTAAAATATTCTATTAAAACATTTTTATAGTAAATATATATTTGTCTTCATATTCCAAAAATTGAGATCATGAAAAATAAAATTTAATATAAGATGAAAAACATCTTATATTTATATATTCAAAATTTACGTTGATAAGATGACAAGATGATCTCTAATCATGCGATTAAATGATTTTATGTGAAATAATAAGTAGAAAAGAAAAAAAATAAAAATTTTAAATTTAAAGCTTCGTTTTCGAATAAATCAATTGTTTTCGAAAATTTATCAAATATCGACGGAAAATTATTTTATATGTGAAAATAAACAAAAAATAAGAAATAATAAGATTTTATTTTCTTTTCTCCGCTTAAATCTTTGTTTTTAAGAAAATCGTATAATCAAGAAGTTGTATTAAAGATAATCGAAATTAAAAAAAATTTTTTTTTTTAATCAATGATTTTCATGATTTTTCAAATGTCAATTTATTGGTTATATTTTATTATTATTATTTTGCTATATTTTATTAGAATTTATTAATTTTATTATTTATTAAATTTTGAGTTATATTCAAATTATAATTCAAAGTTCAATTATCAAGAGTGAATACGTACAATTAAGGATTATCCTATTATACGTAGAGATAATCAAAATTAATTTTATTTTTTTTTTTTGAGTTAGTGATTTTCATGATTTTTCAGATGTCAATTTTCATTTATTAGAATTTGTTAAAATTATTGTTAAATTTTGTTATTTTTTGAAACTTTTATAACTTTGAAAGTTCAATAATTGAAATCAAAAAAAAAAATCGTGTAACAAATTTATTATTATTTATTATTATTATAATAATAATAAAATTGTTGAAGAGGAAGATTTATCATTCAATTCAGTTTGAGTTCAGTTGTGAAAAAATTTTTTAGTATCTTTTCGATTAAATTTTTCCAAAAGAAAAAAAGAAAAGTATATTTATTTTTCTATTATTATTAATGATATAAAAACATTTATAAAAACAATAAACTTTTTAATAAAAATTGAAATGAATTTTGAAACTATTTGCTTTGTTATACAACTTTTTTTTTCACGAAATTATATTAATAATTTAAAATATCGATACTTTTTCATTGAATATTTATTATTTCATCAAATATAAATATTATATTCTTTATTATATATCGCATATAAATTATCGTGTGAAAAAATTGTGTAAAATGCACAAATCCAGTATGAAAGAAGGCTAACTCACCTCTTTTGATGAAACAAAATATATAAAAAAAAAACTGACATTAACGCAAACTTTTAGTTTTTTAAATTTCTATTTATATTCTTCTTTTGAAAATACAAAATTATAATAATATCGTAATTCGTAAGACTTATGTTCTCTACACAGATATTCGATAACTAATGCTCTTTCTTATACTTATACCCACTGATACGATCACGAAAGTACTGTATTATTTAAATTGTTTGTAAACAACATTTTCTCATTTTACCTCATATTGTCCCATATTTACCTTACAGTAACTGTTATTAATATCAGGATATAATACATAAAAGTTTTTGTCGTATATAGGGTGTTATTATATTTATGTCCAATTTTTGATTATTCGGTTATTATTATTTTAAATACAAAAAAAAAAACAAAAATTGTTATGCAAAAAAATATCATTTAAAACTTATTTTTTGAGCTATATGTAATATAAGTATTAGACGAAGAGACAAAGTAAAATGACTCATTTTAGAAATAATTTTTATTCATGTGAAATTTTAAAAGTTTTCAAAGTTTAAGAAGTTTTAATTTTAAAACTTTTTGCTCATAATAGTTGTTCATAATATTTTTATAATTCGAAACTTTAAACTGAATAAAGAATAATTTATATAATTCTTTACAATTTATGAAAATCTGAATTAATTTTTATTTAAATAATAAATTGATTTTCTAATAGTTGATATTCTAAAATTGATATTCTAATAGTTTCTATGCAAAAAATTACAAAATATAAAAATAAAAACTTTTTTACATAGAACTTTTTTGCAAGCTAAGAAGATGATTACTTATTATTAGTTAGTTATAAATCTGAATTTGAAAATTTTCAAAAATAAAAATTTTTTTTATTACATAAAAAAAGAAAAGAAACAGAAAAAAAAATTAGCATTCTGAATTTCGAGAATTTTGAATTAATAATTCACAAATGTAATTAAATTTCAATCCATTTAACTATTTTTTTATATTTTTATATTGATAAGAATTCATTATGTGTAGACTTCAAACGCGATAATTTGAATTAATAAAAAAATGCATATGATCGATGCAATGAATATTATATTTTCAATTTTAAAATATTTTAATAAAAAAAAGAATATTAATTTATTCATTATAATATAGGATTATAGTAATATTTATTATCAATAAAAATTATGAATAAAAATGAAAAATAATGAATAAAATTAAAAGCAAGTTATAAATAATTAATATTTTTTTATTCCAATTTGATATAAAATTACTGTTGTTATTAATATAAAACAATTGTATTTAGATATATCAAATCTACTAGATTAAAATAAAACAATTTAATCTATTGTTGAAACATTTACAAAATCATTGAAAAAATAATATTAAATAATTTCGTAATTTCTAACATTTAATAATTGAATGTAGTTGCAATCGATACATTTTATTATATGAATAACATTTTGTTCATTACTTTGATTCGTTTATTTTAATATTATATACTTATATACTTTATCATGTATAATTTACTTTACTGTTTATTTCATTTTTTTTTTTTTTTTTTTCTCTATTGTTTCAGTTGCGTCCACATTCTATGCAATCAAGACAAGAAAATGTCCGGAAGGCTTCAATGAGACTCGATGTATTGCGTTCGCAAATTATGCAACAATCATATTATGGTTGGCATTTGTGCCTTTGTACCTGACATCAACTAAGAATGTCGTTAAAGTAATCACATTGGCTCTTTCACTGTCACTGAATGGATTGGTGCAATTGATTTGCTTATTTCTACCAAAAGTCTACGTAGTGTTGACCAAGCCTGAAAAAAACACAAAGGAATTAGTAATGGCCAGACATGCATGTTCGTCTTATCCAACAACGCCTTGTACGCCAATCACGCCAGAACTGCCATCTGCCTCGCTCTTCATTATCGACCGTGATCGATCGAAATCGTTATCTTTTGCCGATCATTTCCGATTTAATAAAATTTCTCTGTAATAGGCTAGATTTTAGATAAGTATATAAAATAATATTGTTTCTGAAAAAATGATAATTTTAAATAAAAAAATGCGTTTCTTGTAATTTTGTATTATTATCAAGATTGGAACTTTATAAAAAATCCAAATATCATAAGTTACTATCTGAAGATCTCAATAAATAATTTGAGATTAAAAGAATAAAAAAAAAAAAAGTATAAAATTATAATAATATTAATTATAATTAATCATATTTAATATTATATTAATAGAATTTTGTAATAGAGATACAGAATGCTTTATTTAAATAAAAACTATAGAAATGAAACTGAAATTATAAAAAAAAAAGTTTTATGAATATATTTAAATATATAAGTAAAAACATATAAGTATAAATATTAATTAAATATTAGTATAAACATTAATTTTTTTAAATAGATATATAAAGATCATATATGAATGTGCATATATTTTTTTAAATGGAATCATATAATTTTTTTTCACTAATTAATGCAATTTATTTTTTTACAAAAAAGTATAGATTGATAATAATTAAGAAAATGACAATAGATATTAAATTATTAATGAATAATGGTTATGTTTTTTAATTAAAAAAAAAATTATTAAAAAATTTACCATTGTACTTGGCAATCATCAAATTTTTTAATAATTCATTTAAAGAATTACCATTGGAAAAAATTTATACATTTGTGATTATTATAAAATATTTTTTTTAAAATAATTCTAATTTTCAAACAGTTTTTTAAAATTACCTTTAATTTAAAAAATAATTGCATTCAAAAATTAAAATGAAATATTCTGTACATTTTTTACATGTTAAATTCTACATAAAAATTAATCATATAATATATACAAACAATTTTTATAAAAACATTTTTCTTATAATTAGAATTTTTCTGAGATATGTATTCAATTGTTTTCATTTAAATGAAACACCTGTCACGTTTAATTAATAATAAAGAATTTTAAAACTTATTTGTTCCTGAAAACTTTAAATATGGAAGAAATAATAAAAACAAATTTTATATTTTTTTTTGAAAATGATAATTAAAATATTGTCATTTTGTCATTTTTATCAAATCATAATATTAAACCAAGATATTCATATAAATTTTAATAATTTAAAATATTCTGTTCGTTATAAATTAATATAAATTTAATAATTTATAACTAAAAAATCAATTATTTTTCTTATCAATCTAATCCAAAGCTGAAACAATTTTAATTGTAACTACATCTTTTTTTTTCTTTTCCCAATTTTCTTTTACCTATTTCTATTGATAAAATACAATGTGTAATAAAAATACATGTGTAATAAAGAGAAAAAATAAAATCACATTAAAGGTGTAAATCTCATGTGCACACTTGCATTTATTTAATAACGAAAAACATCTTA